GAGATTTCAGGCCGGCTCCTGGTTTGGGGTGGGGATGGAGCCCGTGGGATGCTCCAGAGTCACGGATTTCAGGCAGGCTCCTGGTTTGGGGTGGGGAAGGTTCCTGACGGCTGCAAGTCCTTCTTGCTGAAATGCAGCAAAACCCCATGGCTTTTGTGTTCTTGTCAGGGGTTCTCCTCCTGTACCCCACTTGGCAGCGCCTTCAAGGGATGGGGAGCGGGGTCGGGGGCTCCCATCTCCCATGGTCCCCTCGCTGCTGGAGGCGCCGTTTGCTGTCCCCTCCCCGTCTCGGTTCCTGAGCTGCGGCTCCGTCGCTGCAGGAGGCGGCTCCTGGAAGGTTCACCCACGCAGGGCAGGACGAGCGCTGCTCTCGGCCGGTGCCCGTTCGCTAAATCGCAGATTAAACACGCAAGATTTGCCCCGACGAAAGAAAAAGCCACTGAGCCGTGTGGTCTGCAGCGGGAGCACACGGACGCCGTGGGGCGTTGCTGCGTGTGCCGTGTTCCTCCCGCAGCGCTCGGGCTCCCAACGGCCACCGATTCTGCTCGGGATGGGTAAAAACCTTCAGTCACCTGCAGGCAGAATGAAAAGACCCCTTCAAAGGAGGGGGAAGCAGCAGCAGCGGCGTTTCCAGGCTGAGCTTTCCCAGTCACCCAGCGGCTCCTCCGGTCCAGACCCCGCTGTCGTCCCAGTAACGGCCTCAAACCAGCGCCGTTCTGCTCCTCCAGCTCCCAGCGCCTGTGAAGTGAAAAGCATAGAGGGGAAAAGTGGAACAGGGGAGGCAAGGCAGGGGTTCAGTTTCTTCAGTTGTCTCAAATCACCAAGATCCTTTTCAAATCCTGTTGCTCTGCCAACTGCCCCTGGGATGTAAGGGCTCCGAAAATCGAAGCTCATCACCCTATAGATCACCCTATAGCTCTAGATCATCCTAAAGCTATAGATCCTATAGCTCACAGATCACACTATAGCCATAGATTATCCTAAAGCTAGAGATCATAGATCACCCTACAGTTCTAGATCATCCTATAGCTCATAGAGCATCCTAAAGCTATAGATCCTATACCTATAGATCACCCTATAGCTACAGATCATCCTATACCTATAGAGCACCCTATAGCTACAGATCATCCTATACCTATAGATCACCCTATACCTCTAGATCATCCTATAGATCATAGATAATCCTAAAGCTACAGATCCTATAGCTCACAGATCACCCTATAGCTACAACTTATCCTATACCTATAGATCATCCTATAGCAACAGAACACCCTATAGCTCACAGATCACCCTATAGCTACAACTTATCCTATACCTATAGATCATCCTATAGCAACAGAACACCCTATAGGTCACAGATCATCCTATAGCTATAGATCATCCTATAGATCACCCTATAGGTCCCCAGCAGCAGCCAGAGATGCTGCACCCCCAGCACAGCCCTGGCTGGCTCCAGGACAGCAACAAACCAGCATTACAGGCACTCCAGACAGGGCTCACCTTGGTATTTCTTGGCATTATATGAAAGAAATCCCTAAGTTATATTAAGAGGGGTGTGTGCTGCTACCCGAGATAAACAACAGTAAAAACACTTATTCAGGAGAGAGTTTTATTAATGGGTTTTTTTTTCAGAGTTTTATTTAAAAAAAAAAAAGAAAATCTGATGGGGAGAGCGGGTTGTTCCATTGAACCGAATGTAATGGGCAGAGAGGGGCTGCAGAAATGGGACAGAGGAGTGTTGAGGATGTGCAACCACGCTAATTACCAGCTTAATTACCAGCTTAATTACCATCTGGGCTGGGGGGGGTTTCTTCAGGAGGGAACCCAGCCCCTGACCCGGGCAGCGCTCGCCTCGGGGTGGGGGAAATTCAGACTGCGCTTTACACGGAGCATTACGGTACTGCCACGGGCTGCGCTTTACACGGTGCATTACGGTACCGCCACAGGCCGCGCTTTACACGGAGCATTACGGTACCGCCACGGGCTGCGCTTTCCACGGAGCATTACGGTACCGCCACACAGCTCTCCATAATAAAAACACATGTTTATAAATCCATTTCCCTGGTTTTATTAAATGTTCCACTTCTGTACATTTGAAAGATGAACCATTTACAGGTCTGCACATGCTGCCTCCTGCCGTCCTCCGCTGCGAGGGAAGGTTCACAAAAACCTCTATGGAAACAGAAAGGTGCAGGTGCCGCCGGGCTCCGTACGTCAAAACGCTCCCCCGTCCATACCATGGTACATACGATTAAAAAAACCCCTCAAACATGCAAACTGTAGAAAAATTTAAGCTGGCAGTGAAAAATAAAAGCAAACGTCTTCGGTGTCTTTTTTTTTGTTGTTTCCTTTTTTGTTTTCGTGTGCACGTCACAGTTTGTCTCCATTAAACCCCTCTAACTCTAAGGACCGCAGTGTCTGATGCCATCGCTCTAAGCAAGGTTTCTCAACCACCGTCGGTCAAGGTTTCATGGTCCGTGGGGGGTTGACCCCCACCCAGGCCTGGCCCCCCCCTCTCCCCCAAATTCAAAATAATTAAATTTCTTTGGAAAAAAAACCCCAAACAAACCAAAACCCAAACAAAAAAGCAAACCAAACCCAAATCTTAATGGCCAATTAGAGAAGGTTCACACATTAAAGCAGTAACTCAGAGCTAAATTTGCCACAGAAACCTGAAATCTCTGGGTCAAGTGTTAAAAAAAAACCAACCAAACAAACCCCAAGAATCGGTGTTAAGACAACCCAAAAGATTTATATACTGGTTCATTAGCTACATAAGTTTTCTCCTTTCTTTAGAAATGGTCACATTGACAATGTAGAATTCAAAACATTTCTGCACAATAAAAACGGAAAACTATGGTACAGTGAGGTAAAGAAAACGCAAAAATATTCACCCACGATATATTTTCAGAAAATACCAACACAGTGATTTTTTTTTTTGTTTGTTTTCCTTTTAAAAAAAGCACAAAACTTATAAATGAACAGCATCAATGGCTATTTATCTGAGTGATCGCCTACGAATTTCCTAAACCCACAAATCCACAGGGAAGTGTTAATGGTCTCAAACCCAACATTTATTTCCAACCCAACCCTTTCCGGATCGCGATTCGCGGCTCGGCGCTCAGATTTCCATCAGATCCAAATCGGCGTCTTCGAAGCCGTAGAAGGACTCAGTCTCGCTCTCCCCCTCGAAGAGGCGGTGGAGGATTTCGGGGTCTGCGCACTCCTCGGTCGGGGGCCGGTCCTGACCCTCGGCCTCCTCCTCCGCCTCCTCCTCCTCCTCTTCCTGCTGCTGCTGCTGCTGCTGCTGCTCGGCGCTGAGCTTCAGCTGCTCCTCCAGCGCGGCGATCAGCTCCTCCTGCATGTCGGCGTTGCGCGTGGGCGAGTTGGCCGTGCCGTCCGGCCCCGGCAGCACGCTGGCTACCAGGAACGACTGCTGCACCAGTTCGGGAGAGTCACTGATGACCTCCAGCACCTCGGCCAGCCAGCACAAAACCAGCTGGAGGAGGATGTCCGAGTCGCACGTGGAGTCCGCCATCTCCTTGGCTTGCTCCCTCCATTTTTTATGCAAGAAATTTTTCACAGTCCTTTTGATACAAACATCCAGAGGTTGGATTTTGGAGCTGCAGCCTGCGGGGACGACGGCGGGCAGGGTGCTGGAAGCGCTCAGCAAGGCCAGTACCTCTTCCGAGAGGTGCGTTCGGTGACAGTCCAGCACCAGCATGCCCTTGCTGTTCTGACACCGCGTGTGCTCCTGCCACACTCGCGACGACCACAGCTCCATCACTTCGTCGTCGCTGTATCCGCTCTCCTTCGCCTCCAACACGATGGACTCGGGCACGTTGGCGGGCTGCCGCACGCGCCCCCTGTAGAAAACCAGCGTGGGGAGAACGCTGCCGTCGGCCAGGATGGTGAGGACCACGTCGCACCAGGGCTCCCCGGTCCCCACCGTCTGCAGGGCGTTCTCCTTCCGGTCGTCGCTGCTCAGCACCTCCACGTCGAGGAAGAGGGAGATTTCGTCGATGGCCGCGATCATGGAGAGGGGCAGGTCCTGCGTGTGGATCTGACGCTGCACGAACTCGATGAAGCAGCTGGCGTTGTCCTCCACGTCTTTGGGGAGGGGGTGAGCCACCGCCCTGCGGGTGTGCGTGCTGAGGTTGTGCCGCAGCATGAACCTCACCGCCCACTCGTAGGAGATCTTGAAGCCGCCTTCCAGGGACCGGCCAATCTTGGTGGCTTTCTGGAACAGCGTCTCCTCGTTGACGGGCAGCTGCTGCTCTCTCTGCGTCAGGACCCACTCCGCCAGCTTCTCTTCGGCCTCTAAGCTGAGGTATTTGCCCTCCGACAGCGACGCCAAGTTCTCCTCTTGGAAAGCCTGAAACCTCCGCAGCCAGCGCTTGATCCGCCTCTGGGGATTTCGGAAGTGCTCCGCAGCCTGCTCCGTGGTGCAGCACAAGGCAAACAGTACGACCCGCAGCTTTTTTACCGACAGCTGCTCCTTTTTGCTCGCAGGCTCGGGCTCCTTGGACGGTTGCTCGTCTTCTGCGGCATCAATATTTAAGCACTCTTCTTCCTGGCAGGCCAGAGGTCTGCCGTAGGCTGCTGGGGCCAGCTCAGGCTCCAGGTCATCCTGCGCAGGTAACACGGACTTTGTTTTCACAGTAGCAGCTTTGCTGGGGGAATAGGTAGGACACGTGTTCTTCGTGCTTTTGTCCTGGGGCTGAACGTGCCTTGAAGGGAGGAAACACAGGACCTCCTTAAAACCCAGACAGATCAAGCTGCTGAGGGCAAACAAGCAAACAAAAAATATCCCCAAAGCCAACCCCATAACCTGAAACAGATGAGGGCAGAGAAGAGTTTACAGATTACCTGGAATGCGATAGACAAGTAGGCCCTGCGGAGAAAAACAAAAGAACAAAACCATTTGTAGCTGAACAAACAAAGAAGTCGGTGCCAACAAACAAGTCCTGCTACAGAGAGGAGGAGCAGCGTCCCTCTGTTACTCCGAAGCACCCCAAAATTCATCACCCATCCCTTCAAACCCCACGTACACCTTCAGCCCTCAGCAAGCGAAGGCTGCTTGAACCACACTCTTGGACAACAAAACTCCAGGGCCATTTGAAAGCACAGGAGGGGTCTGGTCAGGAAAGCTCAGCTTTGGCCACATCCCCCAGGTTTTGCAAGTTGACAGCACCACTTTTTTAGGCTCTATTCAAGGCCCAGCACCAGCAGCTGCTGAAGCCTCCGGGTGTCACTGGGTACAATGGTGTCCCCGAGGAACAGAGGGGCTCGCTGAAGCCCTGGTATTGTCCCTCCCTGGGAAGATCCCATGGGAAGAGTCATCAGTGACACAGAGCTCCAGGCACAGCAGCTTAACTCCCCAATCTCCATAACAATGCAGACCCATTCAGGCACTCACAGAAGGTCCCCAAAACCGCATTTTCTTAGAGCTCAGGGCTCAGCCCAAAGCTGAACAGGGATGGATTTGATTTAGGAGCTGATGTGTTACGTCCTGCATTTGTTTTCCCACAGCTTTTCTGCTCCTTTTTCAAAGTCTTACCTCGGAAAATAATGTTACTAAACTCGTGGGATGGATTGAAGACCAGATGTTTGGCCATGGCATCACCCTCGGATGTTACGAAGAGACAAGAGGAGCAGGACAGCTTCACACCACTGGAAGGAGACAAAAAAGAGGGGAAGAAATAACGAAGTGAGCTTAGTATCAGTGTCAGATGTGGAAATAAGTACAGCCCCTCATTAATAATTAACAGAAAAGGCGACCCTCCAGTGCATCCAGGCAGCATCCCCACCCCAGAACATCAACTCCCACTGCAAGGCAATGGGAGTCTCAGCACATTGCCCTTAATTCAATACATTGCCCTTAATTCAGCACATTGCCCTTAATTCAATGTATTTTCCTGCGTGGCCAAAAATAAGCAGAGCTTCTTGAGAAGCAGCTCATGAAAGAACAGAGGTGGAGGATCAGAAAGCGAACGCCCATCAGATTCCCAGGGGATTAAAGGAAGACGACAAGTTTTCCATTACCAGGCAGTATAGTTTTTAAACAAAGCCAAGTATTTTGGACTCTTCCGAGGAACATGGTTGCTGCAAGACAAAAGAGTTTTATCACATGTCAGAATTATTCTGGGTATTTAAAGAGCTGTAAAGCCCTGCAAAACACAGCACATTTACAAAGACAGACCCAGCCTCGAGTTTAATAATATTTTGCCCAGCAGCGTTGTAGTCAGGGAAATGAAAACTCTGTGTTTACATGGAAATAAACGTACAGTAACATTTTAAAACGCCCAGATTGTGGAATAACTGCTCCGCCATCCTCTTCTGTGGTCTATCCGCGGTCCTGCACAGACCTCAAGCACGGTGCGATTTCTTTTTCCTTAAGTTCTCACATTATTAAATACGAGAATTTTGCAAAAAATCCTAGCAGCAGTGAAAAATGAGGGCTCTCTGCAGCAGCACACCTGCTGCTAGCTACAACTCCGATGATTTGGGATGAACCTTTCAGCTCTCGCGCTCGGTTTTCTCATCCCATTCGAACGCCACCGCCCACGACACAGAATCCACGTCCAGCGTCCCGCAAAGCGCTGCAGCGAGCTGCAATTTCCCCATAGCCCTTTTTTTTCGGGGCAGAACAAGGCCCCTGCCCTCAGGATCCCCGAGTCTCACGTACTTGATCATGTGGTTGGCGTAAGCCCTGGAGCAGCAGGTGCTGTAGCGACACAGCGAACAGTGCACGTAGGTGGGGAAGTGGTTTGGGAAGTCGGGGATCTCGAAGCTGCACTCCAGACAAGTTTGCCGCCCCAGGACGCTCCTGAAGAGAAGAGGGACACGGTCGTTAGTGTCTGAGCGGATGCCTTTGGAGTTTAACCAGAAAAGAGGAGGATTTAATGCCATGTAAACCTGCAGAATTCGCAGTCAAACCGGTCTGATCTCACACCCCAGGGGTGCCTCACTGCCAGGCTGCGCATTTCCCACTTGCTGTAGTCAGCAGCATACGATTAAAACCCCCCAAATAACATTGAAGACAAGGCAGCAGGGCACAGGACGGGCAGGAAGCCCTCACAGTGATGAAAATCCACCGTTCCTATCAAAGCACCACGCTAATTCTGCGTTCGGCAGTTTCACCTTAAGGGCTTTCACAACTTGGCTTCATCCCGGTTTTGTGGGAAGCTCGATTCTCCTGGCATAAAGTTTCCTTGGCAACTGCTAAGACAGAGCTGCCCAGTGCCGAGGATCGCATTTACCCATCACTGTGGCATTAAAGAGCTGACTACGTTCTCTTTCAAGATCTTTTTTTTTAATGCGAAGTTTAGCAAAACGCTCTGACATTTTTTTGACCGCTCTCTTCTGGACGCTCCTCTGGACGGGCGGGTACAGGAAGATGGGCTGGGGATCGGCAGACGAGAGCGGAGCGGTTTCCTGGCCGGCGCCCTGCGGCATCTCATTCGAAGATATCGGCACTGCCCGCGGCTGGCCTCTGGACGCCCTGATTGTAACCTGCAGCAAACAGATACACCCACACCTCTAAAACACAGGGGCAGGAGAGATCTACCCGAAGTCAGACACCCCTGGTTGCAGCAGTTTTTATCACAGAATCACAGCTCCGTTTGGGTGGGAAGGGACCTTAAAGCTCCTCCAGCCCAGCCCTGCAGTGAGCAGGGACATCTTGAACCAGGTCAGGTTGCTCACAGCCCCATCAAGCCTGGCCTTGAATATCTCCAGGGATGGGGCCTGCACCACCTCTGGGCAACCTGGGCCACTGATTGACCACCTCATGGGGAAGAGCTTTTTCCTCAATCCAACCTAAATCTGCCCTTTTCCAGTTTAAAACCATCCCCCCTGGTCCTCTTGCTCCATGCCCCAGTGAACAGCTCTTCCCCAGCTTTCTCATAGGCACCTTTCAGCTCCTGGTGGGTGCTCTAAGGTCCCCCCGCAGCCTTCTCTCCTCTCCTCCAGGCTGAACACCCCCAACTCTCTCAGCTGTCCCCACAGCAGAGCTGCTCCAGCCCCTCACCATCTCCATGGCCTCCTCCGGCCC